TCAGAGCGAGATTTATTTTGTGCCCTTGTCCTGTTGGCCACCAGAGACCTGTGCAGTGCAGGCAATCTGATCAGAATAATGCATAGGGACATATTTCAGAAAACCAATAATTGTGGCAACACTGGTCTCTGCAAGGGACCCCAAGAAAGTCAGGCATCACTCTCCCCTTTCCCAATATTCCCATATCCTGGCTTCGGAATGCTGTGCAGCAGAGTCCATCCACATCACTAGATGGAAGTAATCACCAGTGGATAGTGCACAATTCATTGTAATTTCTGCCCTGCAGCCCCAAAATCAAAGTGGCATTTTATAGGCGGGCCTGAGATAACATTTTACAGCATTTATTTCTGAGAGCACCTCCCCCGCCACCTCTGCAATAGGTCCTGCAGGTTGGTGTTGTTTTTATGATGTTCAGAAGCAGTTAAGTCCAAACGCAGAAAAATACCCCAAACAGGCTGTATTTAAATGGTTTCCTCCTTTAACCTCCTGACTCACCTTCATAAAAAGGAATCTTTCAGAAACAAGTCCCAGACAGAATCACTGCCTATTTGCTTTCCCCCAAACCCTGGTGGAATAAGCAGAATTTGTAACAAGATCTTGGGCCCATTTTTTATTCTGCTCATATTTGCAATGATTTTATAACGGGAGGGAGAGCTGCCTCACTCACATTAGCACAATCAGGGCATCCTGGGATTAAGAACCATTTAGGGCCCCTGTCTTAAAGGGACTCCCTGCCCAGCAGCATAAGGAGGAGGAGGCATTGTTTCCTCTTATTGTGGGGAACTTTATCGGGTGGTCAAAAAGCTTAGAGTGAAGCCCTTGCTCTGCTGAACTACCCTGTGCGCCCCACCCCCTATTACCAATGTGGAAAGTGGTATTGCAAGAAATTACCCAGGTGCCAAAGAAAGAAATGCATGAATCCTTAATGGCCAATTCCCCATTTTATCATGACATGGTCATGCACTGGAGAGATCTCAGGAGATTTTGCCTTGGAATATTTTCTTTGCAAACATGGACTGATGTCCAGATTGCTCAAGAACAAATCGGGTGAACTGCTGAAAAATGGTGGTAAGAAGAGCCAGGTAATCTCGCCAGGCTCCGAGAAGTCTGATCGTAAGGGAGGAGTGTGGGCAATTCTGCAAAAGTGAGGTTAGTGGCCTGCAGATGGATGGTGAGAGCCAGGTCCTGCTGGAGAAAATGTTATCCATAACTTATCATCTTACTCTGGTGAATGTGGCTTGTAGATCTCAGCTTTCTTCAGGAAATACTCTAGATTGGTTCTTTCATTAGTGTGGACATGGTCTCCATCATGACAGATCCCAAACCATCCTTGCCTCAGAAGATGATATTAGAGATGAAAATTCAAAAAACTTCATGACCTTGTGGTCCACCTGGTGAAGTGGCCATCCAATCTTAGCCAGACTGGTCAGCAGACACACAGACCAGCACTGGTGGTTTCCCAAAGTCTTGCCACCTGGCTGGAACCTGACAGAGCTTATGTTTGACTGTGAATGGCCCTCCAGAGACTACTGTCACCTCCATACCACAAGAAACATCAGAGGAGAAATTTATTGGAATATTAATGAAATTTAAGAGGAAAACCAACTAATATTCATTCAGTGTCTTCTTTGGGAGCCCCAAAGATTTTAAGAACCATGGGTGCTGAAATCTCTCCCATGTGAACCAGTCAATCTAGGTCAAACAAGGAGGCTGCTCTTCAGAAACAGGGTGTCAAATTATACTTTACAGAGGCCACAGGAGAAGGACCTGACATCTTCATTGAAACACCTTCTGGGACCATGATTGGAAGGAAGACAAAGCCTCCCCAAGTGTCACTTGGCTGGGTGCCTGGAGGCCAATGACCTAACTTGACCCATTCAAAGAGCATCAAAGCATCTGTTAAGAAGCATAGATGGTTTACAAACTCATTCTCTCTCATGTCACCTGCAGACTGGCCCAAGGCTAGTGGCTTCAGAGCAAGGAAACAATATGCTCCTTCCTGAGTTAGGAAGCACCTCTTCTCCTCAGACCTCTCTGAACTGGGATGCTGGCTGCTCACAGTCACTGGATGACTCAACAAGCACTCATCTGTGATGGCATCAGCACACTGAACACCGAGGAGGGGGTTTGGAGAAATCAGTCAGTGGACGGGTCTTCTGCACCTGAACGAGCCCAGAGGAGGGCCAGCAGCCTGATCGCAGACTCTCCCCTTCCCATCCAGCCACTGTCTATGGTGCCTGGGGCAGTGTTAGTGCTATGCATTGCTATCATGTTGAAAATGCTATAATGATCTGCAATCAGAAAACAGACACTGGGCTCCAAGCTCAGGGATCTACCTGCAGTGGACTCCTAGGCATCTGTCCCAGGACTCTGTAGCCAATGGAAAGTCCAAAGGAAAAACCCCAGGAAGGCAGTGTCCCCATGCCCTGTGCCTTACTAACCTTGGAGACCAATTAGGCCCTGGCTTCTCTTGCTAGTCACTTGTGATTCTTCCATTCACACATTTGCCCCGACCTTTTCTGAGACATTTACATTCCATTCCTGTAAACGCTAAATAAAATCATTATTATCATTATTATTATGGAAATGTTTTCATAAGCTATATTAGCTTTACTGTGAAGTAGTGCTCCCTTCTGGTCATCCTAAAGTTAGCCCGCTCAAGTTTCGTACACTCATACGTGGCTGGTGAAGTCGAAAATTCATAGAATCTTCCTGGAAGGCAACCTTGACAGCACTCGAGGGTCACAAAAATGAACCTATTCAATGATCATTGTGTGATTGTGCAACCATAAAGTAACAAAGATGCATCTATGAGTGTGTGTGTATATATGTGTATATGTAGGTTCATTTTTGCTATCAACAATCAAACAAAGAAAACCCCAAAGGGGGTCACAAAGTGTCAGCCACAACTAAAGCAGCTGAACAACAACAAAATAATTAAAATTGGGCTTTTACAAAATATTAACACTCACATGCATGACCTCATTTGGTACTCACAAACACCTTAGGAGATCCGGAGAAAGTCAGGGTCCATAGCCCAGGACAGGACAGCTAGTATCTGAGTCAGGATTTAAAGCTAGCCTTCCCTAACTCAAAGGATAGCAAGTCATGCATCTCCTATGTGAATGAAGTCATGTGAGAGCGGAAAAAAACTCGAAACAGAAGAAAAGCATATGACCTCTATGTAAAACAAAATCCTAGGCAGAAATATGGAGATGAATGAACAGAGAATGGAAGAGGACTGGGTAAATGATAAACTGTTTGTAAAGTCTCCTACATGGAAATTCATCTTTCTAGGTGTAAATAGCTGTGAATGTGCAGTTTCAAGGTGGATCAGGGAGGGGGAAAGGACAGCTGCTTTGGAGTGATGGGAAGGGGGTCTAGAGACCTCAGGGAAGGACTCCAGCCAGGGCAGAGAAGCCCTGAATCTCTGTGCCTCCTGAAGGCACCCCCTCTTTAGGCATTTCTGCCCAGGGCATGGATACCCCTTCTCCCTGTCAATGCTGCTTCTAAACAATATCACTCACATCTCAAGCAAGTAGCTCTGATCGGCTACTGAGTCAGAAAAGCAGGTGACACAGGATGTCACAGCAGTGTAGAAGAGAAGAGGGCTTCCAGCCACCCAGCCTCTTGGAAGCAGCTATTGGGAAGACAAGATTCATCTCCGGTCAAGGAGGGAGGAAGGATTTGCCTTCCTCTATCCTGGCCTGATGGCCAGTGCCCTTCATGGGCCTTGTAGCCCAAAGCAGAGAAGCAGCCAGACCCACCCCAGAGGCCTCTCCTGGTAAGTTCCCTTTCCTCCAGCACCAGCCTCATGACCCTCCAATGGCCTTGGGCAGCCTTTGGGTGCCAGCAACAACAGGACCGGCAGGACCAGGCTTGTGATAAGAAAATCATCAGCATTGGAGACAGGGGCCCAGACACATAATACCTGTCGGGCTTGAGGGCTCAGTGAAGCCACCAGCTAGCAGCCTTGCAAAGCAAGGCTTGAACATCAGCCTACCTGGCTGGAGCATTCTGCACCCTTAATGGGCAACCTTCACTTTTCTGTGTGGGAACAGAGTACCCTTGTGTGCATGATTTGTTTCCTAGTGGGCACCCTCTTTACCTCCCTCTTAGAAGGAGAGGCAGACATATGAAGACCAGAGCCAAAGAATAGAACTGTGGCCAGCTTGGAGGTGAGAAGCCAATGGATCTGAACACTGAGCAGACTAATGGAGAAGACAGGTAACCTCAGGGCAGGTGGGGGCCCAGGCCCCCAGCCCCTGCAACCTCAGCCAAGTAGTGCCTGGCTAGCCACCATGACAGAACTGGATGAGTCATTCGCCTTGCTATCTTCAAGGCCTCATACCAGGCAGGTCCAGGACCTATGCAGTGCTTGATCAAAGCTTATTGAATTGATTCGAACTTAACTGAATTCCAGGGACCCAAGTTCTAGCATTGGCTTCTGCCATCCCTAGTTCTGTTACCTCAGCCAAATCCCTTCTGTGCCTCAGTTTCCTCATCCATAAAGTAAAGGACCTGGATTAGATTTTCCATAAGGTCTCTTCCAGACTGAAGTCTGAAGATAAGATTCTACAATGTGATTGTTCAGGCAGATACCACGGAGTAGGAGTAAAGGAAGAGTTCACCAAAAGTGACGGATAAGGCCAGGGAAGGGAGATCTTTACCAGGGGCCAGGCTTGGTTTCTGAGTCAGTAAGTCATCCCCCAGACCAGCAAACTTCTCCTGAGCCTGTGAAGGGAGGATGCTGGACATTTGAACACCATGAAAAGGACTTACCTAAAATAAAAGATGTCAATAAAATAATATTTCAGAACAAAGCTTTATATACCGAGTGAAATGGGCTTTCATGGCTGAATTATAAATCTGAAAGAGGCTCATGATGGAGATGCAGGAAGCTTGGAGCATGAGCAGGGGCCACTGCCACGTGTGATGGATTGACACTCCCCTAGCGTTTCCTTTCTGCCTTCTTCTCCAACAGGCCCCACCCTGACATGCACTGACCAAGGCGAGCGAGCGTGGTTCTCAGGACTCTCTCCCACCAGGCAATCGGCCCAGGATGTGGACACTACTGAGGTGAGTCTTTTGTCTGGTTGCCTGGAAAATCCTACCTGGACGTCACAGCCTGGGCTGGTGAGAGTGTCTGGAGACCCTCAATAGCTACTAACTAATTAGGTTATTGGTAATTGTTTCTAGTTTTAATTTTCATCAATACTTCCTGTAGCAGTGTTGACCAGAGAGACAAAGGATTCCCAGATATGCCTGTTAAAGCAGTCAGTGTGCTCAAAGGAAAAACGGGAAAAGTGGGGGCTTTTAAGAAAAAGGAAAAAAGCTTACCTCATTGGACATGAGAAATGAACTATTATTGTTAGTTCTTAAGTCAAATTAAGCCTTTTGTTTAATACCAATTGAAAGTGCAAATTATTCGACTTCACATTCCAATGACTCCTCTCTTCTGATTCCATTGTCTAGAGTGCATTAGTGGAGAGATAATAAAATGCCTCCACATCCTGGGTAAAGCAAACCACCAACTTCAGCTGGTCCACCTCTGAATGAAGGGTAAAGGGCCTCCTGGACCGCTCACTAGCAGGTACCACAAATGAGGCTGTGTGGGGGTGTGTGCATGGGTGCGGTGTGTGGGTGGTGTGTATGTGTGGTGTGTGTGTATGTGTGTACATGGGCATGTGTGTGTGTGTGTGTGTGTGTGGTATGTGTGGTATGTGTGTATGTGGTGTGGTGGGAGGGAGTGGGTGGTATGTGTGTGTATGTGTGTACATGTGCATGGGGGGGGTGGGGTATACATGTGCGTGCGTGTGTGTGGTATGTGTGGTATGTGTGTGTGGTGTGCTGAGTGTGGTGTGCGGGGGGGAGGTGGAGAGTGGGTGGTGTGTGGGTGGTATGTGGGTATGGGTGTAGGGGGGGTGTATGTGGGGGAGGTGGGGGGGTGGGGGAGTGTAGGTGTGTGCATGGGTGTGGTATGTGTGTATGTGTGTTCATGTGCATGTGTGTATGGGGTGTGGGGGGGTGTCATGTGGTTAGTGTGGGTGGGTTGGTATTTGTAGTGGTGGGGTAGGTGTGTGTTTGTGGTGGGGGGGTGGCGTGGTGTGTGTGTGTGGTGTGTATGTATGTGTTGTGTGTGTATGTGTGTGTATGTTGGTGGGTGGGTGTTTGTGGTGTGGGGGGTTGGTGTGGTGTGGGGAGGGTGCAGTGTGTATGTATGTGGTGTGTGTATGTGTGGGTGTGGGTGGGGATGTGTGTGTGTAGATGTGTGTGTGTGTGTGTGTGTGTGTGTGTGTGTGTTGGGAAAAGACCGGGCTGTCATCCAAAGGCTTTCACATGACTGGCTGATCACTTGCTGGAGGAGGGACTTCCTTTGAAGAGGGAGTGGACAAGATGGCCACTGAGGTCACTCATTCGATCAATAAGCACTTATTAATTCCCTACTGTATGCGCAGGCACTGTGCTAAATGTGGGGCTACAAATAAAAAGCAAAAGCCATCCCTGCCCTCAAGAAGCTCATATTCTAATGGCAGAGACAATATTCAAATGTCAAATAAGATCTGGAAAGAGTAAATAGAAGGTCATCTCAAACCTTCCAAGGGCCCAGAAAAGGGGGGTATTTGAGCTGTGTCATGTGAAGGAAGAAGGGAGAGCATTCCAGGCACAGCGGGCAGCTGAGGCAAAGGCGAGGAGGTGGGAGGTTCAGGGGCAGCTGTGAGGAGACCACGGTAGCTAGATCAGACCAGAGAGCGGGAAGGGGCCAGTGGTGAAATCCTGGGACTCGGGGAGCTCACCGCCTCTGAGGATGGGCACAGATTACATGCTGGGTTGGAGATTTGGGACATCGTGTCCTACACCCAAAACAGCTACACATCTTAGGGGACAGAGGGTTTGGCTGAAGGGAGATAAGGGTTCAGGGACAGAGGTCTGAGGGCAGTGTTCATTCAAGGGGATGTGTCAAGTGTGTGAAGGACAGTCGAGGGAGGAGGCCAGAGCCTCTCAGTGGGGCTTTAAACATCAAAGAAAGGTTTCTAGTTGATCCTGGAAATAATAGGGAGCCTCAGCAGCTTCCTGAGCACAGGAAAAACGCACGCAGACTTGGGCTTTGGGAATGTTCATCGAGCAGCTTTGTGGAGGTTGGATTAAAAGGCAGAAGCTGGACCAAGAAAACCAGGGGCTGATGGGAAGGGAAATCAAATTCAGAATTTTCAGAAATGGCCAGATTTCAAGCCATTCAAGCCGTGACCAGCTGGACTCCCGAGGCACTTGTTGAACAAATGCATTCAATGTACCTAATTTTCTTTTTATGACTTCCTGTGCATGATGAGAGTCTTCAGAACTAGACTATATGCTCCTTACAGGCAGGAATCAGAGGGTACATGTTTCAATGTCAGAGAACACTGTGGTGATTGAAGGTGATTGCCTATAAAATGTAGAATTGCAATTGTAAATGCAAGGAAGCTCAAGGTTCCTGGGTAATGTGTGGTTCATGAATAATGGATCTGCCATTTTCTGGCAAACACTGGCTTTTGCTTGTTTCAGAAGGGTCAGTAGGCCATGGGACCAACATTAGCTTCCCTTCATATGACCCTTTTTAGTCATATAACAAAGGAATTATCAGGGCCACTCCCCAAGATTGGCTAGGTGTAGGAGTTGCTGATTTCCATTCAGCATGAATGGAATGGAATGGGAGTGGAGTGGGAACTCTTTCATTATTACTATGTGCCAAGCTCTGTGTTTATATCTGGGGATGCAAATGGGGAAAAGCAAGACAGCCATACCCTCAGGAAGCTTACATTCTAAGTGAGGGAGAAGATACACATGGAAGAGTTTGCTGACAAGACAGATGCAATGACTGGGCTTCTAAGGCTGATGATGTAAGGGTGACATCAATTCCCAGGGATGCTTAGGGGATGGTTGGAGATCAGCCGGCAATTTACAAGTCAAGTCAATTAGCATTATTTTGAGCAGGCACTGTGGTAAGTGCTGGGGATACAAAGAAAGGCAAAGATGCCGTCCCTGCCGAAGAACTCATATTCTAAAGGTTAAGACAATATGCGACAGAAACAGAACAGATGGTGAGGCCTAATTGTCCTCCATCTTAATGGAAAGATTGTAGGTGGTGACTCCCTTCTTATCAAACGGGTGTGAGCAGCCACATCTATCCTGCAACTTGGGACCTAGTAGGACCTGAGTCTATGACCAATGGGAATGAGAGACCCTGGTAGGACCTGGGCTGGTAGGTGTTGGGCTGGAACCATTTGGAGAGGGGGTCCTGAGCCATGTGAACAGGGCAGTCCCAGCAGCCAGCACCCAGGGCCGTCCACCCAGCCATCTCCTCCTTCTGTCTCCAGGCCACTCAGGAGAAAGGGAGAAGTCAAGTTGTGAAGCTGGTCTTCATTCTATTCCTCTGGAGCTCCTATACATGACCTCCCCCCCACACTTTTTGTGCTCCCCAGGAAGTATCTGCAGACCCAGAGCCACAGAAATGTCCCCCTTCCCCCTGGTACCCTTCTTCCATCATCAGGGCCTGGTGACAGCCATCTGTCCCCAGACGCACTATGTGCCTTCTCACATCTTCACCATCTCTAACTCTGTTCTCCCTCCTTGGCTTCGCCTGTTGGGTACCGACCTGCTACTCAAGCAGAGGCCCTGGGTTTGAATTCCACCCCTGACCTTTGCTATAGGAGTGACCTGGGGCAGGGCCCTGAGCCTCCACTTGTCCATCTCCCAAACAGGAGGTTAGGCCTCATGGCCTCTGAGGCCTCTTCTGGGCTCGGATGGACGATCCTGTGAGCCTTGTTTGGTTTTCCGTGTCTTCATCTGGCTGGCTGGCCTCTCCCTGGGTGCCTTCCTGCTCTGAATGCCATGCTCGCTTTCTCCTTCTAGGCCTGGGTGAGACAGGCTGCACCCTCAGGCCACCAGATCTGGGGTTCTGGGAGCTCATGAGTTCTTCCATGGCCCAAGGCTGTGCAGCAGAGCATCAAGCCTGGAATCACGAAGTGAGGAGGACTCCGTTCAGATTCTGTTTCAGACACTAGCTGTGTGAGTCACTTTACCTCTGCTTGCCTCAGTTTCATTAACTGTAAAATATGAATAATAATAGCACCTGCCTACCTGGATTGTTGTGAGGCTCAAATGTGACAATTGTAAAATGCTGATTTTGTGCCTGATATGTGCCTGGCACATAGTAGGTGGCCACATTCCATGGGCAAATCATTTCATTTCTCTGGGCTGCATTTTCCTCTGTAAAATGACCTTCAGGGTCTTCTCCTCTCTTCAGTCTATGATCCCATCATCCAAGGGCCACCTGCTCCATGGTGCCCTCCCATACCCCCACACTGACAGCATGTCGTGGGGGGTCTCCCACCACAGCCACAGGACCCTGGACACTTCCCTTGGGGGCTTTATCTGTGCTGTTTTGAATTGCAAATTCCATTAGGTACAGGCCAGCCAAACTTGCACAACCTTTCCCTGATCCCTCCTGCTTAACAGCAGAAGAAATTAAGTCTCACCCTTCCATCTCCAACCAGAAATCAGAGGGTGGAAGGCCCCAGCCTTGGGAAACTGCCCCAAAACCGCCATCCGAATCTTCTTTGATAATGTTTTTGTAGGGTGGAGTGAGAGCATAATAGAAACACAAATTGGGGCCTACCCCTCTCCATCCCACCATTCATGTCCCCACCATCTTGGACTTCAAAGCAACTGGCACAGTTCTGGGCACCAGGAAGGCATTCAAGACACAATTGTGGGTGTTGTGATGTGCATTATCGAGAAGGTTGGACATCTTTTAAAAGTTCATTCATCTCCCCCACCTCCCACCCCCATCTCAGTCAGTTTGACAGCTGAAGCATCCTATAGTCTTTTGGCCTTATTTTACTGCTAACTAATTTCTGGTGCAATCTATCCACAATCGACACTTATTAATTAAGCCCTTAGTAGGTACTTAGACACTGTGCAAGTCAGTGGGGGCTACAGCACAAAAATGAAAACAATCCTTCCTCACAAAGGGCATATATTCTAATGGAGGGACAACAAGGGCATATAGACATATGTGTAGCACCAATGGAAAGTGAATGCATTCAAATATATACAAAGTAGTTTGTCACATCCAAGGCAGTTTGGGAAGGAAGGCTTGAGCAGCTAGGGGAGATCTCAAAAGGTCCATGCAGAAGATAGAGCTCCATCTTCAAAGAAGAGAGGTGTCCTCTGAGGCGGAGGTAAAGAGGGAGGGCATGGCAGGAGTGGGGGGCAGCCAGTGCACAGACAGGTGACAGAGGGAGGGTCCTGACTAAGGAACAGAGAGGAGGAGGCTGGCTGGAGCCCACAGCATCGGTGGAAGAGGGCTGTCCAGGCAGCCTGCAAAGGCAGGTTGGGGACAGGTTGGTAGGGCTTTAAAAGCCAAACAGGAAGATTTGTTTGTTGGGTTTGCCCTTCATTCTTGAAGAGGACCATGCCATCAGGGAGTCAGGGAGGTGATGACATGATTGCAGTTGACTTTGATTTGAGGGAGGGAGGGCTGTGCAAGGTCACCAGCCTCACTTTCTCCTCCAGAGCCATCTGGGTCCAATGGTCCGATATAGATCTGGAAGACTGGAGATGGCCGTGTTACAGTTTATACTAGAGGCAATAGGAAGCCAATGGTATTGACTGAGTCAGGGAGTTAAATGGTTGGATCTGGCCTTAAGGAAAAACACTATGGCAGCAGTGTATAGGATGGAGTACTAAATTGTAAGCTCCTTGAGGGCAGGGACTGTCTTTTGCCTCTTTTTGTATCCCCAACACTTGGCATAGTGCCTGGCACACAGTAAGTACTAAATTGAATTTTGCCTCTTTTTGTATCCTCAGCACACAGCATTGTGCTTGGTACATAGCGGGCATTTAGTAAATGTTGACTGACTGATCGCTTGATTGGCCTCAAGTTGGGAGACATATGCAAGGCAGATTAGAAGGATATGGGGCCCTCCTTTGGATGGATAAAGTGTGGCTGTGAGGGGAATAGCACCCCTGTCCAGTGCGTACCAAGAGAGAGAACAAAAAATGAGCACGAAGGAATCTTTTCTCTTCCCAATGTCAATTTTCTCTCCACCCACTTCATTTTGGTGTGATGTGTATTTGTGAGTCCATGCAAATAGAGGATCCTAATTAGAAGGTTGATCATATCCCCATCTCTCAGTCTCTCATTTGCTGCCTGTGTGACTTTGGGCATGCATCGCCCCCTCCAGGCCTTAGTTTCCTCATCTGTGAAATGAGACCATTAGATGGGATGGCCACTGAGGTCCTTTGTAGCTCTGCGTCTGTGAGCCTAAGGACTGTCCAATGTGTGACCCGGGCAGGGAAGTGGGCCCCACCCAGCCAGTCAAGGCCTCTAGGGACCAGAACCCTTGGGAAGCCTTCCCAAGTCACAGACCCACCATAGACCTGCTGTAGACCCACCATGGCCCCACGAGCCAAGAGAGCTGCTCCTCCCTTTGGCAGATCTCACCCAGAGGCTAGCAGCTGCTCTATGTTGTGACAATGATTTATACAAACATGCTTTTAGCTCCAGAAGCCCATTGGGATGATCGAGGCCAATCTGTGGCATAATGTGAATAGCATCACAAACAGTAAACCAAGCCTGTTAAAGTCTGCATGCTATATTATGGGTTTATATTAAAAGTTTTAAAAAGGGAGGAAGAACAAAAAAGTGACAGCATCCTTCCAGGCAAGAGAGCGGGGGAGTTTTCATTGTCTGGGGGTCTGCAAAGTCATTTTTTTTACTACCCAACAGGGTTAGTGAGATCTGCCACAAAATGCCTGAAACTTGCTTCCCCCAAAAGTCTTCTTACTGTTTATCATACGCCAATCCATTTTTTTTTTAACAAATTGGCTGATAGGGAACCACATACAAAATTTCAAGGGACCTCTGAGGTCAATAGATTTCCATGCACATCTCATAATTCCTCATTAAGGGGAAACGTGACTTTGAGAGAAAACAATCCACTCAATGATTTCATCTAAACTGGGAGAAGGCATTGGACAGTGCCCCCCCCAACCCCCTGTCATCACTCTGCTCCTCCATAGGACAGATAGCTCTGGAAAAAGACAAAACCCAAATCAACATTTTCCCTCTCTCTCTCTCTCCCTCTCTCTCTCACCCCCACCTCCTTTTTTTAATTTAGAGAAATCTTGAAAAAAACGAAGCAGCAGGATTTTGGCATGCCCCTCTGAATGTACATAAATAAATCTCTTTCAGCAAGTCTCCAAGGAGTTTAAGCAAAACTTTCTTAATGCTGGAGCAGAAAGTGAAAAACAATCTCTGGTTTGTTTGTTAAGCTAGAAAAGTGGACATCATATCCAAAGTACAATTTAAAGCATGATTTTCTGCATTCAAGAATGAAGTGCTGGTAGTTCCTAGCTCAAGAATGTGTCGACAGAACTTCCCAGTGAAACACTGCTGCTCCAAGTTCATTAAACTCTTACCAGAAACAGTCAGGAAGGCAAAGAGCTGGGTGAAATCAGGCAGAGATCTCTGCTGGAGCCATTTCCAGAAAGAAGCAGAAAGGGTCCAAGCTGTGGGCCCTAGGAGCAGACCACCTACCTTTCATTGAAATGACTGAAACTTAGGTAAAGAGAGGGGGGCATTCCCAGCAATGTTCACTAGCAGAAGACAGACCAGCACTCACCACATGTTCATACCTACCCCACCTGATGATCGGATGGCCCATTTTTGCATTAATAATAGTATAGATCCAGGTAAAGGAGATGCTTCCTGAGAGGCAGCGACGGGGTTTATTCTGAAACAATCTTCCCTCAACTCCAACTATAGGCATTAAGGCTAAGATTGAGGTTTTCTCCACTGGAGGAGTATTGAATTTTTTTGTCTTTATCAAATGGTCATCAAAATAGCATTTAAAAAACAAATCCCCCAATGTGGGCCCAAAGTGAGCTCTTGACTTTCCCAGGATGCTTCAGACCAGTCATCGTGAGGGTTGTCTAGACCCACAAATGTCTCCTTCTATCCACTTAGACAAAGTAAGGGGTCCAACAAAGAATTTTAAGGTGAATGATGAAATTTCCCTGTACAGAGCAGCTAGACTCAAAGGCAGCATTAGAAATTCCCGAAGATTCTAAGATTTGTGTAGAGTACTTCTATAATGAAAAGCAAGATTACCTGGGTCTAATACCTCCTCTCCTTTCACAGATCTCTTTGCTAGGTTAAGATGACTTTGAAACACTGAAGTTATGCCCATAGTCTTTTCATCACTTCTGCTTTCCACAACCAAATAATATGGTGTGCATCTTTCTTTCTCTTTCTTTCTCTCTTTCTTTCTTTCTTTCTTTGTCATTTTAGTTTGTTTTTCAAGGAACTTCATTAATGACCTTTTCCATACATTCAGGAGAATGTAAGCTCCCTTAAGACAAAGACTATTTCTTTGTCTTCCTATTTGCAGAGCTTAGTAGGGAACCTGACTGAAGTCCAAGCAGACCACTCCCTCTTAAGCTTTTTCATTCCTACTGTAATCCTCCTTCTGACTCTTACTGGCTTTGTGACCCCAGGTAATCCCTTAACCTCCCAATGCCTGAAGTAACTCTCTGTAGACCATCAGCTACATAGAAGGTGCTGACCTGCTCTAATAATGGGAACTTCTTCATGAGGAAGTTTCCACAGGTCAAGTGCCAACCCTTATCCTTATTTTAATTTTACTGACTACTATGTGGCACGGGCTGTGCCAGAAGAATGTAAGCTCGGAGGAGAGGGCTGGTGGTTATTTTGATCTTTGCCTCACTAGCACCTGAAAAAGTGCCCAGCACAAAATGGTGCTCCATCAATGTTTATTTATTCAAAGGGCATCATCTCAATGATTCCTTGAGGTCAAACTGGTGGGGCTGATGGAGCAATGGGACCCCTAAAAAAGGGTCCTTGAATTTTCCCACCAATTTTAGCAACCCAGATCCCTGGGGTTCTGCTGAGGCATCAGGCTGATCCCAGTATAATCCTTTCAACCATCCTTTTGTTGTGCCCCACCCCATCTAGCCCAGCCCTTCATTCTTTGTTTCTGCCAGACCATCCCAGGCTACTTGCCACTCCTTAATTCCATCAAGATCTTTTCACTGACCCCTTTTCCCTTTTTCTATAGAAAAGTTTTATTCTCACCTGCATTAAGCTCAGACTCACTAGGAATCTTGCCCAACCAAACAGCTTCTTAATAATTCACCATTTGGACTGAAAGAAGGCTTGAGTGGTCAAATTCTTTCGAGGCAGACCCACCCTATACCCTTGCATTTCCGGGTTCCTACCACCCCTAAGACTGCCTCAAAACTGCAAGAGTTCTGGCCTGGTGGCATCTGAGAAACACTTGATTATTTGAAGAAGTAGAATTGTTAAGGATCCCAATAAACCCACTACTGCCCTTGTTAACTGTCCCCTGGTCACAAGATGACAGTCTGAGGTTTCCAGCTTGGAGAATTCTAACAAGAGTTTCATGAAAGATTCCCCTTGTGAAAGTGGGTCCCTGGTAAGTCTTTCCTTCTAGATAAATACAACTTCCTTTTTCCCAAGGTGTAACAATTAAGTGTGATGAGTAATTGTGTAAATAAATGTGCCATTGGCAGATGTACCTCCAAGAGTGTGGCTGTCAAAGCAATACTCCAGAATAGCTAGAGACTTATCACTTATTCCAGTGAGGATATCCTTGATGAAAACAGCTTGGGGACTCTTCTTTGGGGATTATCAGAAGAGTTCTCCAAAGAGACAAAAGATGCCCTCACTTTACAGATGAGGAAACAAAGACCCAATGAGTTGGTGATAAATAATTTGCCCAATGTCACCCAGATGGTAAATTTAAGAGATGCAATTGAAATTCCCTCCTTTGACTCCCTGTCAGTGTCCCTTCCACTGTCTAATCCAAATATTCCATTTTGCATATTAGGAAATGGAACGCTAAAGAGTGAAAGAATTTCTCCAAAGTATGGGACAGTGGAAAGAACTCTCTAACTGGAGTCTGAGAACAACCTGAGTTCAAATTCCTGTTTTGATATTTATTCTCCATCCTTGAGCAAATCAGTTAAACTCTCCGGGTCTGTTTCCTCATCTGAAAAATGAGGGTTAGATAGATTAGATGCCATTATAGTCTTTAAATCTGTGATCCTGATTGTCCATACAGAACCACTGGCCCAGGACTGGTGATTCTAAGGCTCTTGCTTTGTGACATGCTATCCATGATGTGTATATGCACTGCCAACAGAGCTCCTAAAAGACTGAAATTACAGCAAGCCCATTGCCAGGGTAAAGGAAGAAAGCCTTGAATTTGATTTACTAGAAAGAAATTTAGAAGAATTGTAGACCTTAGATGTCACTCATCCCAACCACCTCATTATACAGTGGAAGAGATTGATACCTGGATTGCTGCAGTATCACAGTGACTTGTATCATATAGTCAATGAAAACAAAGGTGTTTCCATGGTCTGCCTTGCATATAGAAATGAATAATGTAAGAAGGAGGCTGGGCATAGAGCAAACCTGAGGAGCATATGTCAGTAACTGAAGAGTAAGGAGGATTAATACAAGTGACTTCTTCTTGCATCCAGCAAAAATCCAGCAGAGAGAAAAATGGATGCTGAAGACTTCCTAGAGGATATGCCATCAGTACCAAAAAAGTGGGTTTGGGATTCATAAAGCATTGGGATTGTTTTCCGTGATGGAAGATAACTAGATTAGATGCTTTCCAATTAAACAGGCTGAATATCACCCCTCAGGCTTCAAACCTGGCAGGGCTTGCTCAGGAATTCACTTTTCCAACATAGCTTTAGCAAAAAAGAAATTTATAAATGGAGATGTCAAAAAGTATTGTAAAGGAAAATGTCAACAGAGAATTTGGATAATTCTGCCCATTTAGCTGGAGTTCTGAAGCTACAGAGAACAGTACCAAAGGAAAGATGGCGGCCATCAACAGGCTCAACCTTGAGAAGTCATTACTGCAATTTTCTGATCCAGCACTCATCGGTGAAGGCTGCTCACAGAAAAGGCAGATCCAAAGCTGACGAGGTGGGGGAGGCCAGGCCCCGCTGTCCACACAACTCTGTCCTTGCAACACGCAGTGGTCTGAGCTAACAGAATGTCTGCGCATCCCAGAGCAAATGACATACCGTGATCAAAGGCACCAGAAAGAAAAAAGGAATAAAGCAGGCAAGCAAATGGAGCCTGAGAGAAGACTTGATAGCAATCATTTCCTAATGAGAGAATCTATGTGACTCTGAGTGACAAGTCAAGAATCTTCTGCAGAGAGGCCACAAATGATGAAATCCCAAGCTCTCGATGGGAAGGAAGCACATATCAGGACCTTCCTGCTTTAGGAATGCCAAGTGTCAGCTCATTCACTAACTCCATCTTCCTTCCACATACTTTACATGGTTTTCTTTAAACAGTCATCATTCTGTAGGTATTATTTTAAATGTACGATCATCAATAAAGTAAAATAAAAACACTCTAGCTCTTAGTGGATATAGTCTGCAACCAAACCACAATGATTTTGTCATGCCCCCCTTTGTCCTGCCTTCCCATGGGTTCGACGCTGGCAGTGTCTGCCCCAAATGCTAGGATTTCCTCCCATTCTGTTTACTTCCCAAGGGCTGTCCAGTTGTTACCCCAATCTATGCAAAAGCTTATTCATATAAATGGCTAATTATCTCTGTCATTGACACAATGAAGACCACTAATGCCCCAGTTCAGTGATGCTCAGTGGCAGACAGTTGACTTTGGGTTCTACCAACACAGATGGAGCTCTTGAAGCTTCTACCAAGCTGGAAAGGCTTTGAAGATGGGCCTGACCAGCCACAAATGACTCAAAGGCCAACGCTCCACTTCTGCAATGATTACTGCACAACAGAGGACAGTGGCCAGAGGATTCTGGGCATCATATGTTTCCTAGAAGAGCAACAAGCAGGAATATATCTGTTGTTGTCCAATGGCCAACAACTAGATACCAAGGAACTCAACCATATCCCAACTGCAGTTTTTTCAATGAAACCAGAAGATACCACAAAGTTATAGCTAAATAGATAAACACGCAGGTTTTCTTTGGAAAAGGAAAGAAAGGCAGAGCAATATTCTCTTTCATCATGAAACCAAAAACCTCCTTTCACCAAAGGGTCCATTTGTTACAGGGAAATAGTGTAACCAGTACAGGAATGAGGGCCTGGGAAAGAACTGAGGGGTAGTGAGATTAGAAGTTCCAATGAAGAGAAAGAACAGTTTTTTGTTATAAGACAGAAGGCAGAGTTCTGTCCAGATTGAAATCAGATAAAGGAATTTCATAATTCATGACCATGGAAGTGGTACATTTGTGATGGCAAGATCAAGGATGTGATCCATGTAGCTGAGGTCAGGTGGCAGAGTAGGTCATGGGAAATCAGTAAGCTGAGGAACTGAGCGGTTAGAGGATTTGAGGGAGCATCAATATGTATGTTGAAGTCGTCTAGTATAAGGGCAAACCTTGAGGAGAAAATAAGAACTGTGAGCCAGGTACTGAACTCAAGAAAATGAGAGTCTTCTGGAGATAGGTAGACAACAGTCACCAGAATCTTGAGTGGGTAATAAATAGGGATTGAATGACCTTCAAAGGAAGGAGGTTACTGAATGGTGGATAAGCTAGAATTGAGATTGGAGACCAAAGAGTACTCTAACACCCCCACAATGACCAGGGAATGGGGTATGAGTGAAAGTACGGACAGTGCTGGAAAAGGTGGCCAGGGAAGCTGTCGTTTGGAAGGAATCAAGACTTAGTGAGTATAAGAGGATGGTGGGAGTTAAAAGGGAAACAGTTACTTTAAAAGCTGTTTTGTTAGCTATGGAGTAGGCTTTCCAGAGAGCACAGCAGGCTGGATGGGTAGTTTTAGAGTGGGACATTGAAGAGGGTAGGAATAAGGGAGTTGTCAGTGGGGGGGGCTGAGAAGAGAGTTTGAACAATGGCAGCTGGGGGAGGAAGGGTTGTGAATTACTAAGATAGGGCAAGAATGATGAAGTAAGAGTATTTTACTCTTTGAGAAAGGGGTTCAAGAGGGTCACCATTGTCCATAAAGATTCAGCCTGGAGGTGGAGTTGTCCCAGGGTGTCAAGTAGTGAAAGTAGGGGGAAAGAGGAAGAGAGAGAGAGGGCTGGGGCAAGGAGCACAATGGAAGGGCTTCTCAGGGAGGCCAGGAAGCTCTCTCAGACAGGCACAGGCACACATATCAAGATCACACAAAATTCCTTGATAAATTTAACTGCAGAGATAAACCTGCCAAGGAGCTTCTGATTATTAATGTCAAATGAGGCATAAAACTGAGAGAGGTGCTCACCAAGGGCTTCCGGTGCTCTCTTCGAGGATCACATATATAGGATCCAGAAAGGATTCAGGGGAGGGGTATTCATTAGGGATGTTAAGGTCCCTCAGAGGTTCCCGTTAGAGGATGGTATTTTTCTGATCAGATCTACAGCCAAAACATTACAAGGCCTCCCCAACGAGATCTATGATTAGGACAGAGATTAACCTCATCAGCCAAGCAGGAAAAACTAAATGGATAAAAACACCAACCATCCAAGTATGACATAATGTTGGACATCCAGTCCAGGGAGTTAGAACATCAGTGCATATACTTGGACCAGGCACTGCAGATAGACAAAAAAGTTGGACCCAGTATTAAACATGAGGAAGAGACAAGGGTGGATTGTGTTTGAGAAATGGTGGTGTTTTCTATGATTCCAGTCTGTTTCCTCACCCCTAAGCCCATCTTTATGACATCAAGCCATCCTAGAGATGCTGAAGGGCACAGGAATCTTGGATCATCACAATGTCCAAAGAAGTCAGAGTTCACTGAAGAGACAGTGGCCTCCCTGGCCACCCTTTCTATCCCTCACTGAATGTTCACCAATAGCACTAACACCCTATTCCCTGATCAGTATGGGTGAGTTGGGATACTCCTTACTCTCCAATATCATTCCCTGAGGAGGCTGCGGAATATTCCCAAAGATGGTCTTCACACAAGCAGTGACCTAAGAGATACTGTTAAGGAAATGGAGGAGTCAAGTCAAGAAGCATTCATTTAGTGCTTACTGTGCTCCAGGGAAGGCACAAAATCAGTCCCTGCCCTCAGGAGAAGAAAATATGCAGATGACTGCATACAAAGCCAGTAGAGACAAGATTCACTGGAGATAATCTCAGAGGGAAGACACTAGAATTAAGGGGAGTCAGGGAGGCATTTTTGATGGAACTCTCCCTGAGACAGGAAAGAAGCCAGCTGGCCAAGATGAGGAGAGAGAGTAGGTGGGTCTGTCGTTAGGCAGCCAGGTAGCATAATGTAAATAGCAGCTGTTTCTGTTCCTGGCAGAGGGGTCTGCCTCTCCCAGATTGATTTTTTTTTAACGAGGTAAAGAGGACATTCTCTGCCTCATTTCTTACCTATCTTTAATCACCGAATGGGCCCTGCCTCAGTCAAACAGACCTGTTAAAGACCTTAGCTTAAAAAAGCCAAGGACTCCCACTGCACCCTGGGCTATCTCTAGTTGTCCTAATCTATATCTCACCACCCAGAAGGCTCTGGAGGACAGAGTGAGGCTGGTGACTTTGCACAGCCCTCCCTCACTTAAATCCAGTTCACTTGCAAGTCATGCCATCACCTTCCTGATGCCATGGTCCTCTTCCAGAATGAAGGGCAGACAACAACAACAGCATAATGCATAGGAGTGGGTATCAGAAATACCTGAGCTCTAAATCTGCCTCAGACATTCCCTAGCAGTGTGATCCTGGGCAAGTCACTCAACCTAGTCAACTTCAGGTTCCTCATCTGTAAAATGGGGGCAGCTAGGTGGCACAGTGGATAGAGGGTTGGCCCTGGAGTCAGGAGGACCTGAGTTCCAATCTGGCCTCAGACACTCCATGGCTGTGTGACCTTGGGCAAATCATTTGACCCTGTTTAGCTCAGTTTCCTCACCTATAAAATGAGCTGGAAAAGGAAATGGCAAACCTTTCTAGCATCTTTGGCAAGAAAACCCCAAAAAGGGTCAAGAAGAGTCAGACATGACTGAAAAATGACTCAACAAAAGCAATGAGATGTGGATAATAATAGCACCTTCCCCTCAGGCTTGTGAGAATCATGGGAGATGAACCTTAAAGCATCACCTCAATGCTGGCTCTGTCATCACCATCCTCCTCATCATTATTACGTAATGAAGCCAAGAATAATGGAAGGACAGGCCCAAAGGAAGGCCTTCTCAGCTGCCCATCTAGACGGGACAGAGTCTTTGGGGAGGAGAACTCCCTGGCTGAGAGGGCATGGAGGGACTGCGCTCTGCACTAATGGAGAGTATGACCACAGGGATGGATTTCCAGATCCTCTGAAGCTTCCCCATCCTTGTTAACACAACTCCAGATATTTTATTTGTAGGTGACTATTCCATTTGAGAATAGTAACTGCACAGTAGGGCTCAAAAGTTTTGATTGAATATTGTGTTATTGCCTAAAAGTAAACCCAAACAAATTATATTATTTCTCATAAATGTGGTGTTTGTTCATGTGTCATAGCTACAAATGAAATAGATGGAAAATGTTCTGTTTCAATCACTTTTTCCAGAACAGACACACCCTGTGCTCCATAATCCTTAAGATTCAAAGTAGGAAGGGACTTAATACATGAGAAACTGAAACCCAAGGGTCACACAGGAAGACTTTAATAATCACAATAACAAGCACCAATATTAATGATAAAAGCAATGATAGATAACGTTATGTGGTGAGTTAACATTTGAAAAGCTCTTTACACACACGATCTCATTGCATCTTCTCTTTGGGATGATGGCAAAGAGTATGGGGTTTTCTGTGACTGACCTGGCAATACACCCTTGCTAAACACATCCAGCCAGACCGGAATTTTTACGTGTGCCTGAGTTTTGCAATTCCTTTCTATTTCTGTCTTATAAATCCACATATATGTAAACATTTGTCCTATTATAAGACATATCTGTGCCTCTGAGAAAAATGTGGGCTATAGATCATGGGCAGATTTCAAGCATGCACTGGTTTCCCAGGCTGTTACAAACACTCAGCAAACTCGTTTTGTTCCCTCTCAAGGTTTGTGATAGGGAGGGAGGAGCTGTGGGCAGAAGCACCATCCTCATGTCCTCCCTCTAAAACGCTCATGGAGATGAGTGTGCGGCTTCACAGGACGATCATTTGGCTTGTTGGCCCTTCTGTGTCATGATGCTGATACAGGCAGCCACATTCCAGGTCATTCTGACCGAAGTTCACCACGCTAATGCTGAATAGCAGTGGAACCAAAGAGACGAGTGCCTGGTAGCCCCTTACCCCCCATTCCTGCGACCATCATAGCAGAAGAGGAAGAGGCTCCAGAAGGCTTCCTAGGTCATCATAGCCAAAGACTTCATGCTAAGGGCCAACCAACTATGAGTGTCCCTGGACCA